CTTAATGCCCTGATGGAGGTTAGTGTCCTCAGCTCTACAGGTTTCTCCTTCTGTGTTCTTGCCTTGAATGGACCACAAGTCAGGGTAGTGGGAAGACAGGTTATAAGGCCCAGATGCTAGACCCTATGAAGTCATTTGACTTATTACTCTGGCATTGTAATAATTTGGATGTGAAGTATTCCCCAAAAGCTCATTGAGTCAATGCAAGAAGGCTTAGAGGAGAAATGTTGGGTTCTGAGAGCCAGCTCGCAGGAAGATGAGGAGACCTATGCCATGCCAGGGGGTCTTCCTGTGGCAGCCGCAGCAGTGGCGGCTGCACCCACGCCTAGCTGGTTCCGCTTGTGCAAATCCTCCAGGGCCTTGACAAAGTCCTTGGTGAATCCTGCTCCTTGCTGGCTGCCACATTGGGGTAGAGGAACTGCGTGCTCATCAGCATGGTGGTGACCAGCCCGTTGGACTCTATGATGAGGCGCTCAAATTCCGGAGAGGGGACCTTGAGCAACTCCAGATCAGGGGAGGAAAGCAGGCCGTGGAGGGGGTGCCTGACTGGGGGCGCCATCTGCGTGCAAGGGGGCCACCTGCTCCCTCTGGCTCAGCGTCAGCACATCCTTCTTCATTGTGGTACCCGCTGCTGCCTTTAGGAGTGCCCTGGGGAACAAGCGGCCTAGGGACACTAAGTTGCTGCTGATGCCACTGGCGCAGCCGCCCAGGCTGCTCAGCGACCCATCACCATAGAACAGTGTTTCCATGCTCTGCCTCCCATGCTGTGATGGCAGGGGAGAGTGGCCGAGGCCTCCCAGGGCGGCCGTGCTTCCCTTCCCTGTCCTCTGGGCCGTGTGCCTACCCAGGCCCCCGCAGCTGCGCCTGGCCCTCTGATGGTGGCAGCTCCGTGGAATTATTATTATTATTATTATTATTATTATTATTATTTTAAATATATTTTAGTTGTCAATGGAAAAAAAAATCAATCAGTGAATTAATCCCTTGACAGGATTAATCGAGTGGTAACTGAAGGGGTCGAGTGTGGGTGGAGGAGGTAGGTCATTGGGGATTGTGCCTTTTGGGTATGTATTTTGTATCTGGCAAGTGGAGTTTCTCTCCGCTTTCTGATTATCACATGAACCATTTCCCTTTGCCACACTCCTCCACCATGATGTTCTACCTTACTGCAGGACCTGAGGAATGGAGTTGGATGTATGTGGACTGAGACCTCTAAAAGCATGAGCGCTCAAATAAACTTTTACTCCTTAAAATTGTTCTTGTCAAGTCTGTTAGTCACAGCAGGAAAAACAAAACAAAAACAAAATTTAAAAAATTTTTAAAAAAAACCCTGACTAAAACAGATGTCCTTAGCACTTGAGCTTTCTTTTCCTCCTTTGAAAATGGGGAATATGATAATGTATTAGGCTCAATTAATAATCACTGTTATTTAATTCTAAGTGTGCTTTTGCTTTTCCATAAAGTTTTAGATGTATTATCTTATTTAATCTGCATTATATTCTTTTGAGTTTGGGGGTGTGTATTTAGGTGAGGAAACTGAGAAAGGTTAAGTAAGTAATTTGATCAATTTGGCAGAGCCCTTTGAACTTTGAGGTTTTCAGGTGATATAGACTCAGTGTATTTAGTTGCTTCCTAAAGCACAGTAAGAAAAGAAAACTGCCATGACCAGAGGCACATATAGACAAACAGAGTCTTGTGGGCTCTGTTTAGCACAACCTCTGTGGTGATGCTTTGCCACACTGGCTAACTTTACAAAAAGTCAAGTCCCATAAACTTAAATTTGACCTAGTTTAATCAAACTGTGGGTTGTGGCTCAATTTTTCAATAATTGATTACTAAGAATTTAACAGCTTTTAGCAACCACTGTAAAGTGCATTCTTCCTTTTGTGGTCTCTCTCTGAAACACATGTTGTTATTTCTCACTAAGATGAATATACTGTAACTCCTTCCCAAAAAAACCCCAAACTGCAGGAGGAGCTACATTTCTATAGATATCACTTTTCAAAGCAGCATTGATTTAAGAAGCACCATGGAGAGGTCTTGAGTTGATGGTCCAACTAATGCAAGCTCCCAAGGTCATTCTTAGGTTTATTTTCTGCTGTCTAATGGCAGTGGCATTGGAGCCTTGGTTTTGCTCAATGATAACATCTGCATTGCTTACCTCCTACCTAATGAGCAAACTCAAATGGAGAAAAAGCAGAACAGGCCTGAGGTTGTCAAGAGAACAGGCAAAGCACAGCATGCTGCGATCCACTGGCTGTGGCTCCCTCCACTGCTAGTGCCATGCAGCTGCAGTGAGAGGACCAGCAAAGAACAAAATTGGCATTGCTGGGGCCTCACAGAGACAGCCAACTTCCCAAGAGCCAAAACTCACCCCTGCTCTGCAGACCACACTGTTTAACCTAGAGGCAGGAGGCATTTCTAATGGAGCAAGATTAGAGAGAATATATAGAAAATTACACAACAGATTCCAAAGCAAGAGGGAGGGGCTGACTTCAGTTCTTCTATTTGGGTTTCACAAGCTTCCTTCAGCTACTCTGGAAAGTTGGCACAAGCATTCTACTTTGACTTTGGAAAGGTTTGATGTTCTTTCATGTTAGTGTATTAAATTCATCATCAGAAGAACAAATGCCAAAGCCCATCTCTCAGTGGTGCAGTGTGGAAGTACAGTAGATCAGCTCTGGCATTTCTTTTCTGCCTCCCTTAGCCCTAGTCACTAGATTGCAGTTCAGAGGTTTTGTGTGTGTGTGTGTGTGTGTGTGTGTTTTCTAATTAGTTTTACTCTTTAGGTCAAGTTTCTAAATCACTTTAACTAAGGATCTAATTATTCTGAACAAACAGGGAAAACTGATATCAGCCACCTGCCAGGACTGGATCGATGAGTCTGCTAATGTATCCCTGCCTTATTTTGCCTCATGTGAGGCCCTCCCCATCCAGTCTGCAATCAGGACAGTTATTCTGAATGCAGTAGGTGAGAGGTACTGGATGAAGAAGGGAGCACATGCAGATGTGCCAACTCAGCACATGCAGATGTGCCAACTCAGCAGACAAGTGGCTGTGGAAAGGAGAAGAAACTGTGCTCAACCGGGGGAATGCTGCTCCAAGTTGTTCTCTAACGTGGAGAGAGAGGGTTAGGAGGAAATGTGCAATCAACTTTCTTCTCCTGAGCACATTTCAAGGGAAGTCAGGCCAAGGTCAGAGATATAGTCCAGCTCAGTGGTTTGATAGCTTGGAGAGTGTGGATTACTCAATTGCTTTAACCTCCGTGAACTCAATTAAATTCAACAGGCATATGTTTGTATATCACTAACCTTACTTATTGCCATCACTTCATATGCTTGACCTGGTTCAAGACTTAAGCACTTTAATTAAGAAAAGACAACTAACAATGCACAGAAGAGGAAAAGGCCTTTGCCATTAAGTGCAGAAGGAAGTCCACATGGATTACCTAAAAATAGTGAAAGCTTTGCTTCTTCTGTGGTATCACACATTTTGGCTTTGTTTAGAGCTCCCTTGAGGATGGAGATGAAATATAAAGTGGCAAAAGAGGAAAGTAAGATAGCATGAAGCAGAGAATGAAAACACCATGGAAACAAACTGTCAAGCTAGAATATGACAGACCAGGAATAGCCACAGGAGGTCTCAGCTGCACTGCAACACAGGCCCTTTCACCATTTTGCCTGGGACTTATTTAACAACCTGTGGATAGCTCAGCATGAAATGGTTGTTCTAGTGCATCACATCAGCTCTTAATACATACTTTTAGCACTTTGGCAAACATTTCTGCAAACTTTAGATCTGAGAGCCATGGTTTCGGATTTGGGATTTATAGGTAAAGCAAGCCAACTCTATTTCCTCCAAACATGATCTTCATAGAGGAGGTTGTGGCTGCTGGGTGAAGCACCACAGTGTGGGTGGCCTCCTCTTCCCCTGGCAGCAGATACTAAAATCCAAGCAGTTTTCTTGGCATCAGGAATCCTCAATCATTAGCCGGTGAATGTAAAATATGATTCTCCAAGAGTGACATAAGTCATGTCACAAAGACATTTAACATTTTATTTCTCCCATTTATATATTCACTTATTTGTTTTTGCCAACCCATTAACACCTTCTGAAATAATTGTTCTGCTGAGTTCAATTTTAAAAATACTATATGTGTCATGATTATTTTTTGGTATCTATCTGGCTGTGCCACAATGACAAATATCTGGTCAAACATTAATCTGGATATTCATGTGAGGGTGCTTTCAGATGAGATTTATATTTAAATCTGAACTTTTATTGAGAACGGTAAATTGCCCTCCATAACATGAGTGGGCTTCATCCATTCAGTTGAAGTCCTGAGACCTTAACCAAGTTTTATTCATTGCCTCACACATTGATTATATGTATTTGATTTTTATACATGTGTCAAATAAATAATTTTGAACTTAATGTTTATAATACAATCATAAGAACATATATCAAAGAAGCCACACATTCCAAGGTCAAAGTAAACAAATAAAGAAGAAAGGGAAGATTATACTGTGTTTTTAAAACAAAGTAATAGAAAGACCAGCAAGGTTTGAGATTCAGTTCAACAATCATTAACTGCAGACTTCTTTCCAAAACTAATTTTTCCAATGGCATATATTAGGGTTACTAAAGCTGTCCTTACTAGCTGTGATCTTAGGTCAAGTTGTTCAACTGCTCCATACTTTTACTTCACTGTCTTCAAGTTGGAGATGAAAAAAAATAAAAATAATAAGATTTTCTCAGAAATTGATACCATTCACATTAGTGCCTGTCTCATTCCTAACTCAGTGAAAGTTTCTGAAAGAAAAGTCTGGAAGAAAAGCAAGGAGCTTACTATAAATTAGCATTCTATAAGTGATTTTATTTAGTCATCAAAACCTTGTAAGAAAACACTTATATCAATTGTATAAGTGATAAGGAGTCCTGCAGGTCTCAAGGTTTAGATCAGAAGTTGTTAATGACTTGAAATCTTTTTTCTTGCATAGGATTCTGAGGAGTGATGCTGCACAGAACAGAACTCTTCAGCCACCTTCCAGAGAACTCAAAACAGCAAACCAGAGAGTCGTGGACAATCACCCAGCTCCATCTAACTATAAACTATTGGTGGTAATGGTTTTCAGAAGCTACTCAGTGCCATGATCCCTTTACATTCAAGAGTCATTAGCTCATTGGTTAGGAGAATAGATTCTGAAGTCAGTCTTAGTCCTAGTTGTTGTACTAGACACATGACCTTGGTACTATAGTCTGGATCTTAAATGTCCCCCAAAAGGCCCATGTATTGAAGACCTTTTCATCAGCCTGTAGCACTATTAGAAGGCGGTGGAAACTTTAGAGGTGAGTCTTAGTGGAAGGAAATTAGGTCTTTTAATGAAATCAGAAAAGACATTACTAGTTTTGGCAAAGAGGTCACTGGTAACAGGTGACTTTTTCTTGACTGGTTTCAGTTGAATGGTGGGAAGAAATTAAGTATAATGAATTATGAAGATGAATGAGAAAGCAAATAGAAAATAAAATTTTAAAATGTGAAGGGAATAATAATTACTATATGCCAGATCCTGAACTTGGTCTTCTGTATTTGTTATATAATCACTGGTGCAACTTTTAGTAAATAAGAATTTGAAGCCAAAAGGACTTGATTTCAAATTCTTATTTACTAATAATGACAATGATGAGAATAATAGCTAACACTTACATGTGCTTACTACATGCTTGACTCTGTTCTAAGTACTTTACATATATTACCATTTCATTCTTAAGAAAAATAACAAAGGAAGACACTACTATTGTAGTGTATTTTACAGTGAAAGAATCTGAGACAAAAAGGCTTAGTAACTGGCACAAGCTAGAAAACAAGAGCCAGACAGTTGTACTACAGACATCTATGCTGCCCTTCTCTTCCTCCCAGATACCTCAGGAGCACATGGTCTGACTTTCAGAAACTGAAAGAAACCCCAAAGAGATAATATAAGTAGAACCATATATACCAGAGGGGCATCCAGACTGGAGAAGCTTCTTTAAATTTTCAGCTTGAATACTTACAATGTACTCTCATATTTCTAAGGGAATTCTAATAAGGTCTTGATGTAGTTAGAGTGCCAAAGGACAATAAATGTGTATATATACTGAATAAACTAGAAGCTTTAACATTTACTTTTTAGATCCTTTCATTGATCCAGAAAGCAATCTTAGTCAACTATCTGAATGCTTCTCAATAAACCGGCTTTGTAATAAAACAGATGACTACCACCAAAAGCTATAAGATCAGAAGCTATGAAATCCCATAAGGAGACCAATTATTTAAACCTGAAGGGGCCATTTAGAAAAGTCCTTGATAGCCATGAGAATTTGTACAGAAAGAAAAGAGGGAAGCTTAGTCTACTGAGGAATCTGCATAATCAAAGCACCTGGGAGGCATGAGAACTCACACAGGATTAGGAAAGGGTGAATAAAAACTAACAGTAGGAATGAAAGATGCCTGGAAAACTAGACTAGGAAGAGGCTCAAGTATCAGAAAGATCAACCTCAACATAGATGAGTACAAGGGGCCATTTGTTTTTCTTATACATTGGTATATTAAACTACACCAAAATACACAAACATGTTAAAATCTTGAGAGTGAAGAGCCAAAAGTTATTTTTCACTGGACTAAAAGTGTAAATAAATCTCTATAATCTCCAAGGAAGGTAAAACTGAGATTTTGGAGTTGTTACTAAAGCTGTCTCATAAAACTTCAGACATGCAAAGAAATGGAGTTGTAGAATCACACATGTATCCACCAGAGAACAGAATCTGGGCAGAGTGTGTAAAGGAAGCAGCGTGTTTACAGCTTAAGAAGTGCGTCCTCTTCACTAAGAAGAGCTGCTGCTGTTTTCTTTGAATCAACTCTCGAATTCCCTTAAAGAGAAGTCAGTAGTGTTATGGGAAGCTCACCTATTGAAGTGACAGCAAAAACAGCAACCCAAGATGAGTAAACTGGTATTATGTCAAGTGACAGTAACTGCACTTTTGGTCCACACCCCAAAAGAGTGAGGCAAGAGAACATTTGCAGCGTTCACTGCCCATCATGCACATTCAAGCATGGGCAGTGGGAAGGCTAGGACATTAGAGCTATTGTCAGTACTGGAGATTTGTTCTCCCACCAAATGCCATTTCTTCAAAGTCTCTTCAAAACCATTCTTCTACATGGCCCATCCCTTTATTGATCATCTCTCCTCATATTGGTCAGTCTTAGACATCATGAGAATAGATAGTTGAGGTATTTGTTCTCAACCATGGCCTTTTAATTGTCCCTTAATTTTTTATGTGTATATAGTTCCCCAATTTTTCCCAACCTAACTTCAAGCATTTTAAGAATGGGAATAATTACCCATGAGATTTTCTGTCAAGTAGGGTTTGTTCTAAAAAGAACAAGAAACAATTTTCCCAAAGTCTCTTCATGATTTTTGTGACTCTTCTTAGTACAGGGACACATTTGACACCTATACCAAAGATAGCATGACTGTTGGATCCTCATGTTGAAACCCACTGCATTACCTCCATCTTAATGTGCTATCACTGAGATGTGAAGATAAGTGTGAATAGGCACAGTGGTATTAATTAGAAGTAACATCCCAAACAAAACAGCACCTGCTTATTGAAATGATGAATTCTTCTCTTTCTACCTAGTCACTGGCTGTGATCGATGTATGACAAGAGGAAAAAGCAGAGAAACCTCAGTGACCTTAGTGGAATAAAGAGCATGTAACAGGACATCATCATTCTTTGATACCAAGTCCCCTGTCAACCCCCACAGTAAGTACCTATCTTCTTTTGTCCTGTAAGCCAGCCTGTTAGACCACACTAGTAAGTGTAGCTAAGCTACAAATGCCATAGCTACTGTTTCAGTTTCACCCTGGCTCTTTAGCTTTCTGTTCATGTGTTCTACTCTTTGTGTTCAACTTCATTTTCTCTAATGAGAAAGTCCTCAACCACTCATCTTTGACATCTCCTCTCCGGATCTCAGAGTTCCAGAATCCAAGGTTCTATGTCTATCTCTATGACTACTTGGTTCATGTATCCAGCTACCCATGTTCTCATGGAATGACAGACAATAGAAAGTATCACTTCAGAATATAAACTCTGGACCAACCCACATGCTCACTCATTCTTACCTTCATCACACCCATAACAAGTTATGCAGCAGGCTTATTCTGGTCATAGTTGGTAGTAGGGAGCTTTTTATATATCTTAGATCCTACTTGGTGTGGATATGATAGTGATATGAGAAGTATACTGTTTCAATAGTTTTCAAAGATGGCTACAAGGATTCTTTTGATTCTAGCACATGTGCCTCTTTGCAACGAGACTTTGCCACTCCTAACCTCAAGACATTGTCTATTTCCCCTCCTCTTGAATATAGGCTTGTTCTCTGACTTTCTTTAACCAGCAGAATGTGGCAGAAGGGACACCATATGGCTTCACAGCCTCAGTCACAAGAGGTCTTTTTAACACTCAGACTCTTGCTACCCTGAAAACAGTATATTAGAAAGCTTAGGTCAGGCTCTATAAGAATGACAGACCATTCCCACCCAAGTAGAGAAACCTCAGTGACCCTAGTGGAATAAAGATCATCTATCCTCATATTGGTCAGCCTTAGACATCATGAGAGTAGATAGTTGAGGTATTTCCACCCAAAAGTCAAAATCAAGACGTGTGAGTGAGGCCGTTCAGCCTTAATAGATCTGCCAGATGACTGCAGTCAGATGAGTAACTCCAGGAAGACCATCAGAAGAACTCCCAACTGAGCCCAGCCCAATTTCTAAGGAATAGGAATATATGAGCAGAAAAATTATGATTTTTAAAGTAGGCATGAAAAAATAACTGATTAAAATTCCAAATGATAATTGTGATATGTTAGTCAGATTTCTATTACTATAACAAATACCTGAGTCGATCAGCTTAAAAAGAGAAAGCTCTATTTTGGCTCACAGGTTTTAGTCAATAATTGGTTGGCACTGTTGCTTTGGGCCTGTGGGGAGGCAGCCCACATCATGGTGAAGTGTTTGAAGAGCAAAATATCATGGCCAAGAGGCAGGAAGAGAAAAAGGCAAGGCCTGGGGTCCCACTCTCCCTTCAAGGGCCTGTTCCCAATAATAAAGACCTTACCCCTAGAACCTGCCATTTAAAGATGTCTCATCTCCCAATATTACCAATCTGGGGGGCCTAAGATCATAAACATAGACATTTAGGGGCCACTTAAAATCCAAATTGTATAAAGAAAATCAATACCTCTTATATTACCATGAGTCAAATCTATTGTTTTCTTCACAGTCATAATTTAAGCTTTATATGTTGAATGCCCTTCCACTAGGAAAACTACTGTTTCTGTTACTACTGCAACTATAACACATGTCTAAACACACACACACACACACACACACTCACACATGCACACTCATACATACTCTTCAGCTCCCACTTACTTGTTTATATGCTCTTTGGGTCTTTTATTTTCTGAGTATCCATAGTGCTGTATTTCCACCTGAGTCCATTTACCTATCTTCATTTTACCATATCTATCTCCTTCAGACTATGAAGAACAGCAATATTTACTGTGTATCAGAAACTGTTCTTCTGTATTACCTTTTCAGGAAGATCATCATTATTCTGCCTATTTTATATATAACATGACTGAGATAAAGTCAACTAAGTCTGCCCCAAGTCACAGAGTTAATATAATTAATGGAGATAGAACTTGAATCCAGACAGAGGGTTAAGTGCCACCCTTAAAAGTGGCACTGTATTGTACTACTTTCTCTAGGTGACCCCCAGGTACTGTGTCATTTACATACTCAAACCAAAGCTCATCTCATAAACTTCATATCTCTCATATTCTTTATGTTGATAAATGATTATCAGTTGCATATGTGGTAAACCAGAAAATGTGATCTGCCTTATTCCCCTATATCTGCTATTTGGTTCTAGTAACCATGAGTATTAGTGGGAATATTAGATCCCTCTATAGATAGGCAGGGAGAGTTGGGGTTGGAGTAGAGTAATACCACAGAGAATTATCAAGCTCATTGTAAAGAATGATTTTATTTATCTGAGGAAAATACAGGTAAACCATTGCAGGGCTTTGAGTAGAGCAGGGATATCATCATTTGCCTGTTTTAACAATTGATTCTATTGAAAACATATATTTGTAGACTAAGAATGAAATCGGGGAGACCAAATAATTGTACATAAATAGGAATATTCTGTAAATTATGAATAATTCACATACTAATAATTACTAAAATATTGCAAAAGAATGACTCTCAGAGAAATGTGGGAAACACTAATTGAGTGTAGAGTGGCCACTGAAGCACTATGGAGTTTCATCAGATATTTTTACTACCTATTCTTCAATTTTATTTTAAGAAACAAAATGGTAAGAGTCTGAAATAATAGAATGTTCATTAATATAATGTACTTGGTCCCAGTTTGATTGTGGTGCCAGATATATACAATATCTCATCTTTTTCCAAGTTGCTGGTCTCCCTTGAACCAGACTCCTGCAATATTATTCTTCTGACTGATGTTATGAAGAACCCCTTGAAGGGTCTAATTCCTACTCATGCCAGAGTGAGGCAAAAAAGCTTCATCAATATGTTCCCAGGGCCTAAAAGGATTGTAAATATTTTTTGTATAATATCCGAACATGATATAAAGCATCCAGGAAGTGGAAACCAGACAAACTGAGAGAAAAGAGCCAAGGCAACACAGGAAAATGGAGTTGAGAATCAAGAATTGTGTTCACAGGCAAGTTTGTGGAGATGGAGTATGCATTAGAGTTCTTTGTGAGGGATTTGTAATATGGTCAAGGTGGGGTGCCTCTTCGTACTGAGTGGCTTAAATATGTTCATAGTCCCAACACACACAAAATTTTGTGTTCTAGGTCATAATGATTTAAATTTTTTTCAATGTTGGGGATTAAACCCAGAGTTTTGTATATAATAGACAAGTATTTTTCCACTGAGCTACTTTTGTGCCAATTATATTTTATGCACCTAAAAGGGCAGTACAATAATGAGAGTATTAGGTTGCTTTGCAAACACACAGAGATTTTTTTTTTTTTTTGGAGGAAGTAAATCCCATGTAAAGAATTGTCAACCTTATCCATACTTAGAGTCAATTCTGCTGACAAGGAAATGTTTTTCACAGGTAGACTCTGCAGTTTCTATTTAACACAGACCTTTCCACTTTGGAAAGTCCAGCACGTCAGTGACATTTTCAGCTTAGTCACAAAGTTATATATTGGCTGTTGCATGTTTTTGAATGATGTATTTTGAAGCCAAACATTATTTGGAAGACTATATTTGCACTGAAACAAAAGTGATAAACCACCTAACCCACATGTCATCTTGAAATCTTAGGAGGAAATTATTGCCTACAACATATACACAAAACCAGTTTTTAATTTTTTGAGTAGCACCAAGTTCTATTAGATAACTTCAAAATGTTCAAAATATAAAACATTTCCTTAAAAAATTTTGTATTAATAATTTCCCATACAAATATTTATGAAATAGAATTATTTTCATTTATTCAATCATGTATTCATTTGTTAGACACATATTGAAGTCTACCCTCAATACTTGACATTCATACAGTCATAATTACATAGAATTTAATTCCCTGAACTCAAAAACATCAGTTTTGTGAGGGACAGAAGCATATGCAAGTAGTTACAATCCAGAGACAAGCTGATCCATAAAGTGTAAACAAAATACCTAGGGCTAACGAGAAGGAAGTCACTAACTACCAGGGATTTTGAAGATCAACAGAGAAAATTAAAATTATGTGCAGCTTTCACATTAGTGGATCAGAAAGAATTCATGATGTAGAGAAGCAGAATTAGTGACATTTCAATCAGAGGGAATAATGGCTGCAGAAATAAAAGCACATTAAGACTTATATGTCATGTTGAAAAAGTCTTCTGCCTTTGGTACTACTAATAGCTAGCACCTAACCAGTGATTAATTTTAACATGTTCCTTAAGGTTGAAAATGATGTGAGCATTTTATGCTAAAGAAATTATGAATTTGATAATAGTGATAATGACAAGGTAAGATCTTGCAATGAACAGGTCCAAAATATTCATGTGGCTATGCTAAACAATTATTTACACTATTAGTCAACCCAATTGCAGTTTCCAACCCCATACAGTATATACTGAGAATGTACTACCATTTGTCATGACTATTCTTTGAGCCTAAACGATGAAAGATTTTCTTAACAATTCTAAAGATAGTAGTCATTCTAAGATAAATTTATATATTCAAAATAATTTCTACCAAAATTCCAGTGACAAACACACAAAAAAACCCCACAAAATTGTTCCAAAATAAATAGAAAACATAGAGAAGAAAAAATAAAGAAAACTAGTACAAAAACTAAGACTGGACTAATGCTATTGATATACATATGTTATGCTATTGATGGAATATATTAATATATCATGTATACATTAAATTGCTTTTGCAATAAAATTAATTTGTTATTGGCTAAAAATATACAGAATGTGTAGCCCCTAAAATATAACCTGTTGTACATAGCACTACTGTTGTAACAATAGAGACACTGAATCCATGAGAAATTGAAGGTTTAGTCAATAAGTGATACATGATGAAGCACTTAGCAATTTGGGAAAAAAAAACAATTTAGAGCATCATTTAATTTCTTACAGTAAAGTATATTTTAGATAATTAATAAAACCAAAATGAAAATCAAGCAACAGAAACTAGAAAAAAAAGGGAAATGAATATCAAATGTATAGGGACAGATGGACTTTCCTTATAAATGATAAGAGACACAAAGGGGAAAATTTAAAGATAAACTAAATAAAAATTTAAAACTTCGCTACATAAACTTTGAAAATCATGAGATAACTATCAAATTATAGATATAGCTACATAAAATACTAAAAAGACAAATATTTTTTTTGTACTATGAGCTTAAACTAATGACAAAAACTCCACAGGAAAAATGAGGGAGGGGTGGTGGTAAATTCAAGTAAACAGAAAATTAAGTACATGGAAAAATTTTAAATAATAATATTTATTGATTTTATCACTAATAAACATACAAGCCCTACATTTATTATTAATAAAATGAAAATGCAAAATCAAACAACACTGGGATGTAATTGTTTGCTGTTATAAACAGTATTTTCTAACATTCAATGTAAACGCAAAGATGGTGCGGTGGAGGGTGGATTTGGTTGAGTTATCAGGCTGCCATTACCTTTACCTTTATAATTTGAAACTATTCTTATGGTCTTTTTTTTAATATCATTGTTTTATTTATTTATTTATTTTATGTGATGCAGAGGATTGAGCCCAGTGCCTCACACATGCAAGGCAAACATTCAATCACTGAGTTACAACCCCAGCCCTATTCTTAAGGTCTTTAATGATTATTTATTACTTTAATAATTGAAAACAAATTAAAGTGACAGCACATGTTTGTACTAATTCAGAAAAATATCTTTCCCTACTGGGGTAAAAAATATAATACTGAACCTAAAGGCATCAGAACATCCACTGCTTATTATCAAAGAATTTGCTTTCAAAATAGATCTGTTAGCCGGTAATCTATAAGTGGATGGTTAGAATGGTAAGTGGGTCTGGGGATATAGCTCAGTTGGTAGAGTGCCTGCCTTGCATACACAAGGCCCTGAGTTCAATCCTGAGCACCACAAAAATAAATAAACGAATAAATAATATAGACCTTTCAGTGAAGAAAGTGATTTCCATCTATCAGCATGTCCTGAGGCTGCAGATTAGACAAATATTGGTTGTCTATCAGCTCAAAATGCTTTGAAAAAAATAGGTGTTATATAGCCATCATGAGTCAAGGCAGAATTTTGCTTATAGAAAAGAACATATTGTCCCACTTCTTAGTATTTATCCAAACTAACTAAAATCCGTATACAGTAGTAACACATACACACCAGTTTATAGCAACACACTTCACTAGGGCCATGTTACTGAAGTGCCTTCTGACAGATAAGGGATAAAGAAAATGTCACACACACACACACACACACACACACACACACATATACATACTCAGTCATAAAGAAGAATGAAATTATGGCATTTGCCAGTAAGTGGATAGGAATGAAAAAGTCATACTAAGTGAAATAAGGCAGACTCAGAAAGTCAAGGTTTGAATGTTTTCTCCCATATGTGGAAGCTAAAGAGAGAAAAAAGTAATAAAATAAAAGAAGATTTTACTAAAATAGAAATGCAACCAATAGAGTAGAGGAAAGGGATAGAGGGAAAAGGACCAGGGGAGTTGTGGGTAAGTATTGGAGAATGAAATTTACCAATTACGCTGTATCCATGTACAAATATACCACAATGAATCTTTCTTATATATATAATTATAATGTCCCAATTAAAATATTAATAATATTATAATAATAGAAGGAAGATCAGTGGAGCTGAGCAAACAGATCAAGGGGTGAGTATGGGAGGGAAAGGGAAGATACTAGGGGATGAAATGGATCAAATTATGTTATGTACATGTACAAATATATAATAATGAGTCCCATTATTATATATAATTATAAGGTACCAATAAGAAAATTAAATCTTGCCAAAAAAAACATACTGGTGACTGAAACATGTACATCCAGCAGAGATATACTCTATAGAATTCTAGGCAATGTGATTCAAGTACCAGTTGCTAAATTACTAGGAGCTTTGCCTAGAGATAGATTGTGCGTAATAAAGTGCTTCACAAAATTTTATTGTCTCTTTTTCTTTCTTTTAAGAAAGAAAGGGAAATACACAGAGAAACTCATTTGAGTTTCTTACAATGGAATTATAAAGACTTAAACAGTAACTTCACCTCCTCACAATTTGTTGGTGGAGGTGATGCAGTGGTGGGGTGTGTTAGGGGGTAATCTATGAGTAGATGGTTAGAATGGTAAGTGGAAAGCACATCATGCTGATGGGACAAAGCACCAAGAGGCCCAGGACAGAAACTAAGGAAGAGAAGTATCCTAAGGTAAAAGAAAACTCCACATGCCAGCTCATTCCCTGGACTAAAACCATGGATGGCTTTCCCTCTGTCCTTTCAGCTTATATAAAATACTTAAGAAATAAGATTAAGGTCCTTCTTTTGAAATTAGGTCACAACATCTTTGAGCCAGCCTCACTGCATAAATTTAGCATCTCTCCTTTTGCAAGACCCATTTACAGACTACTGTCTTGTGAAGACGTCTGTGGAATGTATGGCCAGGGCACTGTAGTCCTAATAGTGACTGAAGCCTAGAATCATGGGGTGAGGGAGGCTGACCTGTAGGTGCCTATTCTGACATTTCAAATCAGTCCTGTAAAATCTAACAAGGCTTGCTGTCCCAGATCCCATGCACCTGATAGAATACGGAGAGGACTCCCAGGGCTATTGGCCCTCACGTACCAGCTGCTGTGTTCTCCTCTATTGACCAGTGGAATTTCCAGTTTAGGAGTTTGGTGGACTCCCTGCCCTGGGCCAAGTGAGAACAAGAGCCCTGGCCATACAAGTGTTTTTATTGCTTTCCTTTCTCCCCTTAGAATTTGGAAACCTGGCTTCAGAATGATGAAGATAGAGAATAAGACTGAAACTAATTTGAACTTGGTAGTAAGAGTTTGTCATTTACTATAACTGTCCTATTATCTAAATCAGGATTAAAATAAACCACAACACTTTTCTTATATAGCTGATGAAGAACCAAGAAACATTAAAAAATGGTCAGAGTAAACAATAGTTTATTAATTGGTATGATACAAGATAAATAAAGGAAAATCTATACTTTTCCTTTTTATTAGCAAGAACCAACAAAGAAAAAAATGGAGAAATAGATAGATAATTTACCTACAAGAGAGAGAGAGAGGGTTGAAACCTATAACAAGATTATACTGAGGTGTTTTTTTGTTGTTGTTGTTCTTTTTAGTTTTGATACAACACAAGGATACACCTTGACAAAATCACAAAAGCATGGAACCTAACCCATTCCAATTCAGTCCCCAGCACTTTCCCCACTCCTTTCTCCTCTCTCTGAACACTGAATAAAAAGACATGTAAGTATTGATCTTTCCCAAATTAATGAATATTTAGTGCAATTTCAATTCTATTATTTTTAAAACCACAGAGAAGTTTTAAAATTAATGTAAAAATAAATGTAGGATATTGCCTAGAAACTTTTTAAAAGGATATATTTTTGCAAGGTAGGGTAGGGTACTTTCTGTAAAACTATTTACAACAGTACTTTGTAAAGATTACTATGGTATTACTAAAGGAAGAGACATCTTCTTTTTAGTAGCATCCAGAAAAATGGTTGAGCTATTTTATAACTTGACATAATCCAATGGGTAGAAAAATAGACTATTTAATAAATGGTGTTACAATTGTTGATGGATCCATTTATAAGAAAACCAAGTATAATCTCTACTTCACAGCAAAATATGAAAATTTCAAAACAGCTTAAGATGTTTATATAAAATATCACATATACAAATGTGTATAATATACATCATCATCAGTATGTATAGATCTATCACATTCTTGTTTAAAGACCTTTGAATGTAGCCATTCTTTAAGTCTGAGTAATATTATATTGTGTATATATACTGCATTTTGTTTATCAATTTAGCTGTTGAAGGGCACCTAGGATGGTTCCATAGCTTAGCTATTGTGAATTGAGTTGCTATAAACATTGATTTGGCCATGTCACTATACTAGGCAGATTTTAAATCCTCTGGGTTAATGCCAAGGAGGGGGATAACTGGGTCATACATGGTTCCATTCCAAGTTTTCTAAGGAATCTTCATAACACTTTCTATAGTGGTTGCACAATTCGCAGTCCCACCAGCATTATGTGAGTGTATCCTTTTCCCCACATCCTCACCAACATTTATTGTTGCTTATACTCTTAATAATTGCCATTCTCACTGGCCTCTGTGATACCTTTTGCTTCACTTTTCTCACTGAGTATTGTTTTGGCTATTCTAGGCCTCATATTTTTCTAAATGGATTTGAAGACTGCTTTTCTGTTTCTATGAAGAACATCATCAGAACTTCATAGGAATTACATTACATCTGTATAGTGCTTTTGGTAGTATGGCCATTTTGACAATAATAATTCTGCCTATCCAAGAAGATGGGAGATCTTTCCATCTTTTAAGCTTCTTTAATTTCTTTCTGTATAGTTCTGTAGTTTTCATTGTAGAGGTATTTCACTTCTTTTGTTAGATTGATTCCAAATTTTTTTTGAGACCATTGTGAATGGGACAGTTTTCCTAATTTCTTTTTCAGTTGGTTTATCATTGATGTATAGAAATACAATTGATTTATGGGTGTTAATTATACATATACTGCTACTTTGCTGAATTCATTTATGAGTTCTAGAAGTTTTCTAGTGGAATTTTTTGGTCTTCTGAATATAGAATCATGCCATTGGCAAATAGAGATATTTTGATTTTTTTTTTTTTTCTATTTGTATCCCTTTAATTTCTAATTTCTTTTCTAATTGCTCTGGACTAGATTTTCCAGGATTATGTTGAATAGATGTGATAAAAGAGGGCATCTCTGTGTTGTTCCAGTTTTTGCAGGGAATGCTTTCAATATTTTTCCATTTACAATGATATTGGCCTTGAATTTGGCATATATAGTTTTTACAATGTTGAGTTGTGTTCCTCCTAAGTCTAGTTTTGAACATGAAGGGGTGCTGTATTTTCTCAAATGCTTTTTCTACATCTATTGAGATAATTGATTCTTGTCTTGAAGCCTATTTATGTGATGAATTATGTTTATTGATTTCATATGTTGAACTACTCTTGCATCCCTGGGATGAACCCTACTTGATTATGGTGCACTATATTTTTGATATTTTTTATGTGATTTGCCAGTATTTTACTGAGAATTTTTGCATCTGTGGCCATCAGGGATATTAGTCTGAAATTTTCTTTCCTTGATATATCTTTGTCTGGTTTGGTATCAAGGTGATACTAGCTTCATAGAATGAGTTTGGAGGGCTCCCTCTTTTTCTATTTTGTGGAATAATTTGAAGAGGATTGGTGTAAGTTCTTCTTTGAAGGCTGGTAATCTTGGATGAGAATCTGTCTGGTTCTGGGCTTTTCTTGATTAGTAGGCTTTTGAAATTGAGCCCTTTAAATCTTCTATGTCCTCCTGATTTAATTTGGTTGGTCATATGTCTCCAGAAAGTTGTCAGTGTCTTCAAGAATTTTTATTTTATTTATAAATTTTCAAAATAGTTTCTAATTATCTTCTGTATTTCATTAGTGTCTGTCTTTATATTTCTTTTTTCATCGTGAATTTAAGTACTTTGAGTTTTCTCTCTCTTTCTCTTTGTTAGCTTTGCTAAGTGTTTATTTATTTCTTAAATTAAAAATTTTAGTTATTTTTTCAAAGAACCAACTATTTATTTTGTCAATTTTTGAATTGTTTCTTTGTCTTAATTTCATTGATTTTAGCTCTGATTTTAATTATTTTCTGTCTTCTACTGCTTTTGGTGTTGACTTGTTTTTCTTTTTCTAGGGCTTTGATGTGTAATGTTAGGTTATTTATTTGTTGACTTTCTATTCTTTTAATGAATGAGCTCAATGCAATGAACTATCCTCTTAGCACTGCCTTCATAGTGTCCCAGAGGTTTTGATATGTTGTATTTGTGTTCTCTTTTACCTCCTAAGTATTTTATTATTTCATCTGTGATTTCTTCTGTTAGCCATTCATCATTCAATAGCATATTATTTAGTATCCAGGTGTTAGAGTAGCTTCTGTTTTTTATTTTGTCATTGCTTTAGATCTGGTAGAATGCAGGGTAGTGTATCTATTTTTTTTATTTCCATAGCTTCTTTATTTAGTTTTTGTTTGGAGGATTTATTCAGTAGTGAGAGAGGTGTGTTAAAGTCACCCAGTGTTATTGTGTTGTGGTCAGTTTGATTTTTGAAATTGAAAAGGGTTTTTTTGATGTACATAGATGCTCTGTTGTTTGGGGCATAAATAGTTATGATTGTTATGTCTTGTTAGTTTATTATTCCCTTAGGTAATGTGAAATGTCCTTCTTTGATCCTTCTGATTAACTTTAGCTTGAAGCCTACTGTATCTGCACTGAGGATAGAAACCCCTGCTTATTTACAAGATTCATGTGAATAATATGTTTTTTCTTATCCTTTTACCTTCAGTCTGTTTATGTCTTTGCCTATAAGTCTCTTGGAGACAGCATATTGTTGGGTCTTTGTTTTTAGTCCAATCTTCCAGTCTATGTATTTTGATTGATAAGTGTAGGCCATTTACCTTCAATGTTATTATTGAGATATAATTTTTATTCCCTGTCATTTTTATTTACTTCTGATTTTTAATTTGAATTAGTTTCTCCTTTGATTAACTATTCTTCTGGTGTACTTCTTCCCTTTCCTGGTTTTCACTTTTATTTTTCACTTCTTTTTAATGAAATATTTTATTGACCATGTGCTGTGGAGCAGGATTTCTAATTGTGAATTCTTTTAACTTTTGTTTATCATGAAAGGTTTTTATATCATCATCAATTCAAAAGCTTAATTTTTCTGGGTGTAATATTCCTGGATGGCATCCATTTATCTTTCAGATCTTGGTATATGTTGTTTCAGGACTTTCTAGCTTTAAGAGTCTGGATTCCATGATTATTTTCTAATATAGCTGATGAGGAACCAAGAGAACATTTTTAAATTATCAGAATAAATAAGAGTTCATTAAGTGGGGTATGACACAAGATAAATAAATAAAGGAAATATAATCCATAATTTCTTTTATATTAGCAAGAACCAAAAAGAAAAAATATGGAGAAATATCCTATTCCCCCACAAGAAAGACAGAGTGTTGAAAACCTATAAAAAAGATTAGACTGAAGGACATTGAATAAAAAGACACTTTCAGGAAATAATCAATCTTTACCAAATTAAGGAATATTTAGTGCATTTTCAATCCTTCTAATATTTTGACTGTTAAACCACTAAAAGTTGAAAAATTAACATAAAAATAAATGGAGGATATTGCCTAGAAACTTTTTAAAAGGATACGTTTTTTCAAGGTGAGGCAGGGTAATGTCTATATAGCTATTAAAACTGTTTAGGAAGATATTCTGTAAAGATTAGTATGATACTGCCAAAGGAAGAGAAAAATTAGTAAATCCTGAAGAAATGTTCAGTTATCTATTATAAATTGATATATGGTAAAAATTAATATTTTTAATCTAGTGGGTAAAAATTCAACCTATTTAATTAATGGTGTTACAATTGTATCCATCTATCTAGAAGAAAACCAAATCTAACCTTTACCTCACAGCTAAATACTAAAATTTCAAATGAATTTAAGATGTATGTATATCACACATATATCTGGGTATATATAGCATCAGTATGTATAGATTTATCTTATTCTTGTTTAACTTCTCTTTTTCTTCACTTTTATCTTAGGCTCCTTTTCATCAGTACATATACATCTATCTTTTCTAGTTTAATGACTTTTGAATGTAGCAATTCAATTAATTTCTATTTCATGGCCATTTGGCTTGGTTCCAGGTTTTTTTTTCCTAAAATTTTTTAGTTGTAGTTGGACACAATACCTTTATTTATATATTTATTTATTTTTATGTAGTGCTGAGGATTGAACCCAGCACCTTGCACATGCTAGGCAAGCATCTTATCGCTGAGCCACAACCCCAGACTTTGGTTCCAGTTTTTTAAGTATATATTCATAGAAGCACAGTTACTGGGCTGAGAAATCTGAGCATTTAAAACATTACTAATTATTGCTAATTTCCTGGCCAAAAATTCTAGAAGCAATTTCTCATGTGATTTCTCTTATAAGGCATTATTTTCAGTTGGTTCATCCTAATTTACCTATTACTATATTTGATCTGAATAAGAAATAATCATTGAACATTTTTTTTGCTCCTAATAGTCTACTGAAGACTGAGGCAGGACACATTAGATAAAATAGAAGGATACAATAGTAAGTTCTTACCTTAGAATCTTTTTTAAAATGTAGGAAAAAATACTGACATATAAACATTAAATTGGATGATGGTGCATATTATGTATGCTTTGGAAAAAACAGATATAATATTTTGAAGATGTAATTTGGCTATTTTCTTCAACAATATTTACTCAAATTTATTAGGATTCCCAAACAATTTGAAACTTAACATTTATAGTTATTACTATTGATAATTTTCTACATGATAACTGACTAGCTGAAATAAGCTAGGCTACACCATGAGAAAATTCAAAAAACATTCATGATCCTGGTAACAAGATAATGAAAAAGAAGGAGGAAATGTAACCAACACTAATCAACCATGTTCTACATGACAAGTGCTTTGATTATATTCTCTTTTATATTTTATTCACCTCTGGTATGACATGAAAGGATACTTTAACAACAATTTGCTTAAGTGAAGGACAGGTTGGAAGGGGCAATATTTGGAAGATTAAAAAAGGAAAGTTGACATCTACCAAGTCCTACTCTACACCAAGCACTGAGCTGGAATTGTGACAGATATCCAAATAGGAAGTACCCAGTATAGAATTGAGTCCTCAGGGACATAAACTTAAGTGTTAAAAGTTTACATAGGCAGAGCAAAAGTTAAAAATATATGAAACTTGGCCTTAGCTAACAGAAGCCACCTTACCCAGACATGCCTTGAAGATTATCCTTACCACCAACACAATCACCACCTGCTCCCAGTGCTCTCCAGGAGCCAATGGCTGACTCATATGGAGCACAAAAGACCAGTTGGCCTCAAACCATGATAATTATGTAGTACTATCTATGTTCCAGAGTTCCCCATTGATCAGGCCAAGACAAAACTTTACCAGAGTCCACCTGCTTGATCAGCATCTTGCCCTTTCCTGTCTTGCCTCCCTCTCTCTGTTGCAGGTCTTTCCTGAAGGGTGTTCTCTCTTCAGGATAAGTCACTTGATTTGAATTTCTATTTCACACTCTGCTTCTAAAGAACCCAACCTAAGGCAAAAGGACTTTGATACCCTGGCCATGTTTCTGTTTGTCACACTTAGCAATTTCCACTCTTCACAATAATTCTTTTAAGATGGGTGTTACTACTATTTATGAATTAGTACATTAAGATTGGTACACTGAGCCAGATTCAGCCAAGAGGCAGATCACAGAAAGAGTAAGTCAACTGCTTTGTTAGTTACCAAACAGAAAGTGATAAAGGCTGACTTTCATGTGGGGTGTATTTGGCTACCCAAATCTAAGTAAATTATTCTACCTCTCCATAAACCTGTCCCTTCAGAAGAAAGCCAGAGATGAAAAGACAAAAGGTATACCTTTTCTAAACCATGTTATAAAGTGACTGTTCTAATTCTGCAAAGCTAATTATACTCATGTCTAATCACATTATGTGGAAGATGTTAAATAGTTATTTTTTAAATTAACCTATAAGGACTCCAAGATCTAAAGAATGTCATTTCTCAATGCTGAAGCCCAGTTTTTGAACCTTCCACTGGAGCTAGAACTCATATACCCTTAGCTGAGCCTTTTGAACTGAATGCTGATAAGATTTCTCTACCTTTTCTTCCACTTTGGTAGGTCAGGGCCAACAGGAGATTCATAAATGTACAAGCCTGGAAGTCTGTGACTAAACCCTAAATGCGTTGCTTTCTGACTCACTTTTCCAGTCTTGAAGTAAGTTTTCCTCTCTACAAGAATGACAGTGCATTAAGTGGGAAACTGTTAAATTTGACCAGATGGAAGAGAATCTAATTAAATATAGAGTGAGTTTTCAGTGTTTAGAATATAGTGTGTTCATTAATGCCTACCATTAATGAAAGGATTTTCCTATTAAGACCCATAACTGACCTATTAAAAGCTGATAACCAAATCTTGGCTTATGTCTATATATACAGTTATCCAATTGGGTCCTACTCTTAGAACTTCAGAAGCCCAGAGACCTCTTAGGAAGGACTACTTCTGAATCACATCTGATAAAAATGAGATAAAGTGAAATAGCTGGGAGAAATAGGAAATTATATGTGAAATAGAAGTATCTTTATAGATAAATTACCACTCTATCCCAGCCCATCCTGATGGCTGACTTTTAGAGCATATTTTCTACTGATGAGCTATAGATTCATAAAGATAGTGAAACACTGAACCAACTGCTTTGTAAAACTTCTCTAGAAAATTCCTCATATCACCACATTCACAAGATGGTGACCTGGCCTTCAGCTACCTCAGTACTTTTACCGTATGCCTGTTAGGCCTTTAATCCCAGAACAGTGTATTTTTCCCTTTCCAGGTTAGTGGTTAGTTCCTTGAAGCTGTCACAATGGGGAAGGGCTGTCAGAGGTGACAGAAATTATCCTGTCACAGAGAATTACTTTTTTTTTCCAGGAATAAACCAGGACATCAGTCCAAAAGATATGGGATTTGTAACTATAGGTATTTTAAGTTCATAGTAGAAAGTGAAAAGACTAAGATAGCATGGCAGGTGAAGACATTTGGGGCATTTTACAGCATAAAGAAGAATAAATCATTATGTCTGTCAAAGCTGGTAGATCTGGAAACAAGGGTCAATCCTCAGGACCAAATAATCACAATAATTTGTTTCTCTCACAGGACTCAAACCAAAGTTTTGTTTTATTAAACTTGAAAGGAATTCAAATAACCAATATTAAAAGATCAGTACAGAAAATAATAGTATTTAATGAAATCCAATTTCTCCAGTAAATCTTTATGTCAACACTTCTTGTGAAAGACCTGCTTCCATTACAATCATCTGGAAGCTTCTTAAACAACAAAAATGAGCACCCCAAAATCTACTCAGTCATAATGTAACCTGCATCTAAAATATCTGCCCCATATCTAGATTCACATCAAAGTTGAGAACATGACTTTGTTCTCAACAACAAATGATGGGGGGAATAGGAGCTTATGAAATGGAATTTCGATGTAAGAAAAATTGTTGACTTTCTTGCTGTCTTTTTATGCTCATTTTTGCATATCAGCTGAAAAATCTGAATGTGCATAACTCTGATAATCAGGAAAGAGCCCCTTCCCAGAGCATACACTAGTAAACTGTCTCCTCATTTCCATCCCTCTCCTCAACCCCACCCACCAGGCAAGGGGGCTGAAACTTCAGAAAAGACTCTTATTGCTGAACATGAAGTGGAGAATCCAGACCTGCAAAGATGAAGGGCCAGCTGGGAAACACAGGCATTCTCCAGTTCCTCCTGGCTGAGACCATGAAGTGGGCTTGTGTGAATGTTGACATTTTTGACTTTTGGTTTTCTTTGATGTGCCACAGGAAAGTAAATACTCCACAGATTTTTTTTTTTTTTTTATGAAACTGGGAAATGTTGGATATGACTAAAAACATCAGTTGAGTTTGAGATTTGCAACTTCTTCCATCTTCATCACTGGTCTTAATGACTTTTCTTCAGGTTCACGTGTGATTTACAATGTTTTTCAAGCTGATCCCTAGAGATTTCTCCAATATGCTTCCAGAGTCTGCCCAGAGGGCCAAGCACATACTTTTCCCCTTTTATTGCCAGCTATGTAACTATAACCGCTTTCATGTTTTACACAATAATTTCTGTTTAAGATTGGAGTTAAAAAGAGTTCTACTGCACATCTCATCCAGGTTTTGAAAGACTTTCAATTTTAGGAGTTACAGCTCTATATAAACAGCTCTAACATTCCACCAAATTTATTTAGTGACTTTATACAATAGCACTGTTTATGCAGTAGAAATTTTTCTCTTATAAAGTAAAGATGTGCTTTATTCCTTGCAGGATTAATGTGATGGTGAATAAGACAAAGGCTAAAGTTACTCATATAAAAACTGCATATTAAGAGCTATCATCACACATCAGAAGACTCAATGTTAGACTGTGGTTTCAGGGTGTTAGGATATTTGAACTCTGCTTAGCTAACTAATCTACCCCTTTGATAAGACTGGTTATATTTTTTTCTGTATGAGAAGAGGTAAAGAAATAGGTATCCCTTGTCTATTCATTCATTCACATTAAAATAAATTACTCAGTTATGGTGAGAACAGATTAGGTAGGAAAAGACCAGCAATGGGGAGACCAGTTAGGCAGCTAGTGCTGTAATTTAGACAAGAGGCAAAAACCCAAGATGAAAATCAAACTTATTTTCACAAGTTATAGAAGTAAATCAAACCTGCATAGGTGCCCAACAAAATTACTTTGTCTTACTGAAGGAGAAGGGAACAGTGTAGACTCTATAGAACAAGACTGCCTGGGTTCAGATTCTAGCTTAGGCTGTGGTAGACCTGGCTTGGACAAGTTGATTATCTTTGTTGTCTCATCTTTAACAGGGTGCTAATAGTAATACTTGCCTCTGGAATAAGGGAAAAAGTGTTTATGAGGAGTTTAGAAAAGTTTTTTCCAGGCAATAATGCTAATTGTTGTTTTCCTGGCACGTAAAGGATATAAACTGGGCAATGCGGCTAATGGCCCCTAGAGGACAGCAAAGGAATAAGAATAGAAGTGTAAGTGTACAATGACAGATTCACATTCAATGAGAAAGGTGCCATGAGTTCTACAAAAATGGAAGATGAACTAAGAGCCATTTAGAGCCTTGTTTGGACTCTTGCTCATAGTTAAGACACCAGTATAGACAAATTAAGGACTTGAATAAGTCTAGTGATGATAAAGATCCAGGCAGTCATCTGGGGACACACTTAAATGGCCATCAAGTCAGTGCTGGCTGCTGGGGCTGAGGACTTGGAGCTTTGTTTCTTCCCTTGTGACCTGGGCTTCCTCAGTGAGGTAGTTGGGTAACAAGGATGAGTATCCTCCTGAGGACAGGGAGAACCAACATCACATTTTATGGCCTAACCTCAAATGTGATGTACGTCACTTCTGCCATGCTCTGAGGATGTAGCAAAACCCCACCCAGCTTTGAGGGCACAGGATATAGACCTCACCTCTTAATGGAAGAGTTGCAAGGTTCTGGAAAAACATACAAAATGGAAAATATTATTCTATCCATTTTTGTAGATCAAATGTTTTCCCAGAAATTTCTGCTGGATTCTTTCTCATTTTCACACACAAAGCATCAACAAGTCCTAACAGGCCTGACAGCAAAATATACCCCAAACTTGATCTGTGCTGACGTCACCTCAACACTATTCCCACCTTAATCCATCCCTACCTGGATTAGAGCAAAGCCTGTGAAGAAGCTTTCTCATAGCCAATGTAGCCCATGTGTCCTATTATTTATATATTAGCCATTGAGAGCTTTGAAAAAATGTAAATTTGCTCCTATCCCCGTTCATTTTAGAACCATCCAATGGCTTCCTATTATGCTAAGAATAAATGCCTAATCCCTAAATGTGACCCCAAAACTCTCCATATTTGTGGCCTGTTTACCCTTCTCACTTCTTCTTCAGGCTTCTCCCCCCCACACTCACAGTGTTCTTCCTCTTCTCCCTTAAATACCTGGGTGTGTCTCTGATCCCAAATCTCTTCATACTCACTCTGTTCCATTATTCAGATCTCTGCTCACAAAGCATCTTATCAGACCACCCAACATAAAAGTGCATCTACTCAGTCACCTGACCCTCCTTTATTTTTCTTACTAATTATTATCTGAGATTATTATTATTATTATTATTATTATTATTATTATTATTATTATTATATTTGATTCCTTGTTTATTTTTCTCTCTTCCTCTAGAATAAAAGTATTTTGTGGACATGTCTTTGGTTTTATTTATGACTTCATTAACAGTACTTAGATCCTTTCGGTAGTTAAGCTGAATATTGATTAAAGTTTTAAAGGAAAAAGAAAACAAACATTGAGGTCTTCCAGATTGGTGGTAGTGTAAATTAAGATCTACTTCCTCCATAATGAAAACATGTCTATGCCTCCATTTAGGTCTTGAGCTGTTCTTTTCTCCTGTTGTGTAGTTTTATGGACTCAGTGTAGGGTGTTCAGTTACACTTCCATGTGTAGCACTTAATAGAATTTCAACTTGAGCCTAAGTATTTCCACTGTTGGTGTTCAGTCAAGTCTGGACATGTTTGGTGACTTGGTGGTGATAGGCCACAGAGAATGCAATTCTAATGAAGTCTCTGATATTGAATGAATGAGGAGGAGGGAGACTATGTGTTTATGGTGGTAGGAGAAAGAGGGAGAAGAGAGAAGAAGAGAATTTGAGGGTGGCAGTGGCCAAGTAGTCAAACTACTGGGCATATCAGCACAACTGAACACACTTCTTATATTTGAATAATCCTCCACCTCCTGTGTATTTCTTAACACAGGGCTATGATGAAGACCCCCGGCAATCACATACACCAGATCAAGGATTTGGATCAGGAGCAAAGAAACGTGTGCCACCTAGAGTCCACTCTGGGAAGAACAGCAGCAAGTAAAGCCAGTTTCCACAGGGAGGTGCCAGATCCCAGCACCACCAATGAGGCTGAGCCCAGCACAACCAGCAGGGCCCTTTCTCCCAGAACAGTTTTTAGTTGTGATTCTGGGTACTGATCTTGACTGGGGAACTGCCAGCCTGCTGTCTGATCTCCTGTGAAGTTCCATAATCTTTAACAGATTCTTTTTCTGTCCATCAATCGCAATAGATTATAACCGAACTCTGACAAAGAAAGGTAGGATATTTAATTTCAGTGTACTTCATAGATCATGCCTCATGTCTTAGAGAAAGGAGCTAAAAGCCAGAATGGTAAGAATTATTTTAAGAAATAATTCTGTGAGACTTGGGATTTGAACAGTAATACTTTGGTCCCGAGGCAACAAAGTTCTACATCAAGAAGGAAAACCAGCACTTGTCCATTTTTCCCTGGAACATAGCAGAGTCCTGACTCCATGAAAGCTCTGGCAAAATGGTCTCTAAACAGCTTTTAGAAACATTGTAAGCTGATTCGTGAAATTTTAAAAGCAAAAGGAGAACAGAGAGGTGAGGATGGGATCAGAGCAAGAACCCTGCTCCCTACTGCCTGTAAGTCCAGGCTCCAGAGCAACACATGATCCAGCTCCTGTCGTCTGCTCAATCTTTCCTTAAAATAAAGCAATTTACTAGACCCAAAATACCACAGAAGAATTAAAGCAAAATATTCCTGACACCCTAGCCAGGCACTGGCCACAAAGAAGCAAACATAGTTTCTCATGAGCTCCTTGCTCATCCTGGCCTTCCATAATTTGTGTCCTTGTCTTAAAGGTCTTTCTACTGTTTCTTCTGGATAACTGCTGCTTTCCAAAGCTGAGGTCTCAGACATCCCTCCTTCACTCCTCCCCTACATCTGACTGTCTTTGGTGCTCCTTTTCTGCCCTTCTGGTTACCCTGCTGCTAACTCCCATTGCCATGCTGAGGACACTGCCCTGTAGCTGTCAGTAACTTGGATTCTCCCTTACTTAGTAGATCTTTGAAGAGCGGTATCTTAGCCTTTATATTTCCTAATGCTTAACCTAGAGCTTGACATACTTTGGTTCTCAATACATTTTTATTCTAATTGCCCCTCAGTGTCCTCAGGAATTGGTTCGAGGATCTCTTGCAGATACCAAAATCTTAGGATTATCAAGTCCTTAAATAAAATGGCATAGTTTCAAATAACCTATGCAATCCTCCTGTGTACTTTGAATCATCTCTGGATCACTTGTAATAACTAATACAGATGAGCTGAGCACTATCTACGCAGTCACTATACTATGTTATTTAGGGAATAATGGCAAGAAAAAAATACATGTACATGTTCAGTACATGCATTAATTTTTTCATCTCAGAATATTTTCAATTCAGAGTTGATTGAATTTTCAGATATGGATATATAAGAACACAGAGGGACAACTATATTTGGATGAATTATTTTGACTCAAGCTAAATATGCAGGAGTTATTTATAACATTCCAGCCACCTTAATAACCAAATACAATGACAAAAATAACTCACCAAACATGCTTGTTGCTTAATCTCTACAGTGAGATCCTGATCCAATCCTGATCCCAGTTTGAATTATTTTTTTTCCAACTTGAATAATTTTAATAGCTTTCTTATTGGATTTCCCAGTCTCTACTTCTTTAAATCTATATTGGATAAAAATATCAGATTTCTGTTTTCAAAATGCCACTTTGTTAAGTCATTCCCTTTCCAAAAACCTTAGGGAAGTCACAAAGTTTTATAAATTTTGATGGGATAATAAAATGGTAATATCCTCGTTGGAAAACAATTCTGCTGAATCTTATAAAGATGACTATCCATGTTCCAATGACCAATTTCATTCCTAGATATTTAACTTGTAGAAACTGCTGAACAGGGTCTTGATGGGGAAAGTCCACAAATGATCATTTGAATATTCTTTAATAGAATAGAAAATAAAAGGTGGTGTAGTCAGAAAAGAACATATTACATAATGGTAAAATACATTCGAGCTACATAGAAAGCATGAATATGTTTTAGAAAAGTAATATATGAGAAAGTAATTTCCAAAACTCTGTAAATACCATGACATTGTTGCAGTGTAGCTTAAGACAAGCAAAACTACATAGTACTATATCTTTATATACTAAAATGCAATGAAAAGATGCAAGAAAATGATAATCAATATTCAGATACTGGTTGCTGGGGGAAAGGCAGCCTCCAAGAAATACATTATACAAGCATTGCACAGCAATCTTCTATTTTTTTAAGATGGAAGATAGAATTATGAGTATATATTTTACTACTGTGTTAACTACAATCTTTTGAGTATGCAAAACATTGCACAATAAAAGTACTTAAATGGTGACCAGTAGAGCCATAATAGTTAATAAAAAATCATTAGGGAACAGTTAACCTTTGGGAAAAGGCATAATTCTACCATCAACTAAGGAAAGTCTCCTGGATCCTGCCTTTCACGATTTAGTGCTATAGACCTGCTCTGGACTAGTTATGGGAGATTTACTCCTGCTAACTAAAACACATGTGAGCCAGCAGAAACATCAAGAGTGCCAATGCATACATTTATATTGAGAAGTACCTCTTTCTCATACTGTAAATATCATGATTTGCACCTTCTTTACCTGTATTCAGACTGCATAAGAATAATCAGAAACCTCATTATTGACTTTTCATGAGAATTCTGTCAGCAGGGCTGGCTGGCTGGTTTCAACAAAATGTTCTACAATAGTCAAAGTAAACTGTAATTCCCCAGAATATAAATATATCTTAGAAACAAAAGGGTGCAAAGAGGAATTTGCACACTCTCAGCTATGTAAGCAAACTTGCATGAAAGTCAAAAGTTTGCTTTGTGAGCAATAAAAAAATTAAAAGTATTAGACATAATGAGAACCAGTACAACAAAATCTAGGCCCCCTGCTATCTTCAGTAGAGTCCAACATACCCTAACACATTTAGTGCCACCATTATTTCTCATACCTAGAACTGGCATCATTTATTGATTGTGGCACCATTTTCTAAGCATTGTCTCATGATCCTTCTCAAAGGACCCCAGATAACCAATAACTGACCAAAAACTACCCCACCTCCCTGGGTTTCATTTGGAGTGACCTATGTACTTCCCCCTGAAATATTCCATACTACTCTTACATGTTTGTCTATGTTCATCCAAATACCCCCTGCACACCCACGGACACACATACACACCAACCTGGAATGTTCTTTTCTTACTGTGTGTCCTGCTTGAATCCAGTCTTTTCCAATATAGTTTCTCTGACTATCCCTGTCAGGACTGCTGTTTCCCTCTTCAGAAAGCCAGTTACTTACATATCATTTGGCATTCAGTGTCTTGCATGGGTAATTGTATTTTCAGGATCTTCTGTGTTATAATCTATGTTTTAGGTTTTTAGGTTTCTTGGGTGCAGGACTATACTTTGCAATCTTTATAAAACTACTATGGATAGAGAGGAGTGAAGGGAGGTGAGAGGGAGTATGGGAGTAGGAATGATAGTAGAATGACTTGGACATTATTACTCTATGTGCATGTATGATTACATGACCTGTGTAACTATATCATGAACAACCAGAAGAATGAGAAGTTTTACTCATTTATATATGATATGTCAAAATGCATTCTACTGTCATGTAAATCTAATAAGAACAAATTTAAAAAATACTACATGGCTTCTCACACTAGGATGTTCATGATGTTTCTTATGCTTAATACCCAACCTAAAACATGAAAAACACTTAATAATAACTTTAGTTATAAGAAAAATATTATGTAATCTTCTCTCAAAAAAGCAGAAAGAAATAAGTGAATATAGAACATTTAAGAGGATGGATGTTCAAATTACATTTTAAATTTTTTCATTAGTAAATTGTATTGGGGTTGACCTCAAATTTTCTAAAACAAGATAAAGGGAAGATAGGTCAAGTTCCAGAATGTTTTTTTGTACAACTTCTCCATTTTCTCTCCCACACATAATGCAGTTTAAGTGAAAATATCAGGATAATCAAATAATAGGCGGAAGTGATGCTTATTCTTTTGTATTTGCAAAGATTTTTTATATTCTTTCATATTTACAAAGGTTGCTAGCTTTATAATATTTTCACAATAGAAAAAAAATTTTAATGTAGAAAAACAAAGAAGGAAGTTCTCAGAAATCTTACCACCCAAAGATAACCTATGGTTTGTCATGGTTTCTA